TTACCATTCTAGAATTGAGAACAGTGTCCTGAGGGTCGTACCAGCTTCAAATATCTGTAAATACAGAGATGGACCCTTAAATTGGCATGATAAAAGTATACCAAACAGTAGGTAGAGAAGGTAGATTGGGGACTTCTGTTCACTTTATTTCACAATCCAAGAACATGGGAATATTTGGCAAAAATTGGAAGGTGGGAAATTCAAAACAGGGTGTTTTGGGTTTTTTTGTCACACGTTGCATGATTGGTTTGGGGAACATGTCTGAGGCCAAGAGCTTAATGTGATTCAGATAGGATTAAACATTTAAATGTGCATGCAGAATATCCAGAGGTCTCATGGTAATACCCTGTATTGAAATAACTAGGCATATAAGCCCTCAAGTTTTGGGACATAAGCCCCACTGGAACATTGGATGTTAAGAGGAAACTTTCTCCCTTGGAGCAACTTATCCTGTTGCTGCCTGCTGCATGGTTTCTTGTATCTTCCTCTGCATCAGCTTATATGGCTACTACTGGAGATGTGATGTTAGGCTAGATGGACCATGGAGATGGTCTGATCAATATGACAATCTATCAACATAGCTGTAATGGCAGGAACTTTTTAAAGTTGCCACTTTTAACAAACATTCTTCCCAACTACTCTCAGCAAAGAATCATACATGCTGATCTTCATACCTCAGACTGCTCGTCTAGTCCATGAGGCCCTGCCCCTGCCCCAACTCCGCCCCCTCCCTGCCCCTATTCCACCCCCTTCCCCAAATCCACACCCCAGCCCTGCCTCTTCTCCACCTCCTCCCCTGAGTGTGCCATGTCCCTGCTCCTCCCCTCTCCCTCCTGGAAAGTCCTAAGCACTGCCAAACAGCTGTTTGGTGGTGGGAAGCGCTGGGAGGTAGGCGGAGGAGCGGGGACGCGGCGCGCTGAAGGGGGAGGAGCTGGGGCAGAGGGTGAGGGGAGCTTGGCTGCCAGTGGAGTTGGCACCTCTGGCGGGCCACAGGATAGGTCATGTTTATACTACAAAATTAAATCAACCTAATTTGCGTTGGCATGTAGCCCCCACAGTAATTACATTGCTTGTGTGTGTCTACACTTTTGCTTCTTGTGTTGGTGTGCATCTTCACCAGTAGCACTTGTATCGATTGAACTGGCAGTGTGGGGCATTGTGGGATGGCTCCTGAAAGCTAGTAACAGTCAACATAAGCAACGCAGTGTCTACAGTGACACTGTGTCAACCTAACTACATCAGCCTTGACTCTACATCACTCATGGAAGTGAAGTTATTAAGTTGGCGTAGCAGGGCAGTTATGTCGTGGGAGCGAAATTTAAGGTGTAGACACTTCCATAGTTAGGTCAACATAAGCTGCCTTGCTTTGACTGAACTCTCTAGTGTAGACCCAACCTCCCTGAGAGGCAGTAGCTATGTCAATGGGAGAAGCTCTCCCATCGACGTAGCACTGTCTACACTTGGGGCTAGGTCAGTATAAGTACGTCGCTCAGGGGTGTGGAAAATCCAGCTAAAGGCCTGGTCTACACTATAGAGTTAGTCGATGCAAGGCAGCTTACGTTGGTCTAACTTTGTAAGCTTCTGCACTGAAATGTAGCTCCCACCGATGTAACTCATCTACTACACACTGATTTAATAACTCCACCTCTGCGAGAGGTGAAGCACTCAAGTCAACGTAGTTAGGTCAACACAGTGTCAGCGTAGACACTGCATTGCTTACATAGACTGTTGTTGCCTTGTTCAATTGATGCAAGCTCAACTGGTGAGGATGCGCGCCGCTGACATAACTGAGGTTGACTTAATTTTGTAGTTGTCATAAATATAAAGGGAAGGGTAACCAACTTTCTGTATACAGAACTATAAAATCCCTCCTGGCCAGAGGGAAAACCTCTAAAGGGTTAAGAAGCTAGGATAACCTTGCTGGCACCTGACCAATGAGGAGACAAGTTACTTTCAAAGCTGCGGGGGGAAAACTGAACAAAGGGTCGGTCTGTCTGTCTGTGTGATGCTTTTGCCGGGAACAGATCAGGAATACTCTTCAGAACTCCTGTAAAATGTTAGTAAGCAATCTAGCTAGAAATGCGTTAGATTTCCTTTTGTTTAAATGGCTGGTAAAATAGCTGTGCTGAATGGAATGTATATTCCTGGTTTTGTGTCTTTTTGTAACTTAAGGTTTTGCCTAGAGGGATTCTCTGTTTTGAATCTGATTACCCTGTAAGATATTTACCATCCTGATTTTACAGAGGTGATTCTTTTACTTTTTTTTAATTAAAATTCTTCTTTTAAGAACCTGACTGCTTTTTCATTGTTCTTAAGATCCAAGGGTTTGGATCTGTGTTCACCTATGCAAATTGGTGAGGATTTTTATCAAGCCTTCCCCAGGAAAGGGGGTGTAGGGCTTGGGGGGATATTTTGTGGGGAAGACATCTCCAAGTGGGCTCTTCCCCTGTTCTTTGTTTAACACGCTTGGTGGTGGCAGCATGGGGTTCAAGGACAAGGCAAAGTTTGTACCTTGAGGAAGTTTTTAACCTAAGCTGGTAAGAATAAGCTTAGGGGGTCTTTCATGCAGGTCCACACATCGGTACCCAAGAGTTCAGAGTGGGGAAGGAACGTTGACAGTAGTGCAAACTTGCGCATAGATTCATGACTGCATCTTCAAGCTTAATTCAGCTGGGGCAATGGCATTCTCTTAGACTGACGGGCAAGAAGCATATGTGGCAGAACTGGGAGCTCACTGCATATTCACGCTTTCACAAAACACCACTTGACTTGACTCTCACACATCAGATGTGGCCTTCAGCCAGCTTGGAGACTTATGCTTCCTTAGTCAGCAAATCTTCTTAAACATCCATTCTTCCTCGTCTTGACTTATGATTCTTGGCCCAACCAGGATCTGATTCTTCCCAGCCAGAAAACTGCAATGCAAATGTTCATTTTCTGTGGTCTGCCTCTGCTAGGGCAGGCACCCACTTGGAAACAAGTACTCATTTTCCCCCTCCTCAGTTGTCTGTTTCCTAAAGGAGCTACTAGAATATTAATCACTTGAATACTGGTTAATGGAGATAGGGGAGTAACTGGTCCCTTTCTGTAAATTATGAACATGCTTAACTGGGGAAAGCAGTCAGCCAACAAGTAGGCCTGAAAATGCTTGTTTACATTGGTTATTGCCAGATTGATTGGAACTGAATCCTTCAGTCTGCACAGGTGACAGCCAGATTGTGACAGGAAAACAAAGTGTTTATTTCCTGCTGGCTTATCGGTGGCTATAGCATTCTTGCTTGCTAGCTCTAAAATGCATGTTATTTCTTGCATGTTTATTAACCCAGAGCATCTATATCAATTTATAGTACAAATGATTAAAAATCAGCCTTTGTGAGCAGTTAGATACTTTTCAGTTTGGGAGGAAAACTTTGGTAATCTCAATGTGGCGATTGACAAATGGCTTTGAAATGGTGCCCACCTTTCTTTTTTTAACGCAGTTTACCTGCACGCAATATATTTGAGTCGTCCTATAGAAATGAATGTCCTACATTTTTCCAGGGTACCAAATGTGTAACTGATTAAGGTCCTCTGGGGAGAATTGTGATTCTCATGTGCATCTGTATCTCCTGGAGAGAGAAACACGAAACTTGTCAGAAATGTAAATGTTAAACACAGGACCTTTAATTTCTCTAGTTTATACAGTTTACATCTTCACACTCAAAATGGAACCTGTCACGGAGTCACTGGGCCAAGGCTTTGGAACTGCTCCGAATGAAGCCAGTCAGGAGTCTGATGTAGCATGCCTCCAGAGCAGTGAGTGTGTCAGGGGCCAGGCAGTGGGGTCTAGCTCAGTCTGCTGTTGCTCCTTCTCCTGGTATTTGTCCTGCTTCCTGGGCAAAATGTCACCTGGTTCTCAGGTTACGAAGGATATCCCTCCATAGCTTATGTGCAGGCAGCTGGGAAGCCTCACCTGCCCCGAGGGCCTCAGAAAAAGTCACACACCCAATTCCCACCACCTAGACATTGGTGCGGTACGCAGGGAAACTGTGGTACATGCAGTATTAATACAGGACAGTAAGATTCACATGCAACATAACAAGGGGGAAAACCCCACTTTGTCACATCGCCATTACTTACATTCTTGGTCTTCCTTTATGTACTGTCCCTGTTAGCGTAGCACTTTTCGGATAAGCTGCAGTTGATCATATCAGCCATTGACATAAAGTAAATGGCTTTTTTTTTTTTGAGTGCGTTCATCTGCTAGGTAGATGTCATCCCTCATTATTTCATGCCATTTCACTCCACTCTGTTACTTACCTTCATGCTTGTTCTGCACCAGACAGTCATAAATATTCATGCAGACTTCCTGCCATCCATTTTGTCTTGTATACTTAGCTGATAGTCTGCTTCTTTAAAAAAAAAAAAAAAAAACCACTCAGGCTTTATCTTAGCATATGAGAGAGCTGAAGGCTGCCTAGTGCTAGTGAGCTAATAGGTAAAATGCTTAAACCTCTGGTTTTGTGGAGTTGCTGGGAGACATGAAGGTCTCTTGAGATCTAGGATATTACTTTTTGTTGAATGATCTTTTCAAGATTTCTTAACAATTCTGCCAAATTGGGGGCACTTGATTTTTCCCTGTTAAAATCCAAGTTGATTAATTCGGAGAATTTCAAATATTCTAGCTTCTTTTACTGTTTTTATTTCTAGCCAGATGCAATAATGAATGTCTAGTCTCCTGTTACTTTTTTTTTAATAAATTGACTGCATCAGATGCTCATTTTTTCTCAGCTTAATGTAGCTGTTCTGACTTGCCAAGTATAGTCCATTTTGGATTAAATCTTCTTTAAGGGCTGAGATGCAACTAATTACAGTATCCAGAGAATAACTGTTAAGATTAGAAGGAAAATGGCTACTAGGTGCCATCAGTCAAGACTGTATGATAAATTTTCCAACTGTGGGGTGGAGATAAGCGCACACTCTTGAAGTAGCTTACAGCGCTGGCTGTTTCCTTCATTCTTTCGTCAGGTGGTGCACTGTGACTGAATTCACTGTCGTCTTGTAGAACTCCCAGATCTTGTGATGCTGGAAGAGGCAGTTATGTTATGTTCTTTCCCCAGGTGAGAAATTTTAATGGGCATACAAGGTAACAAGTTGTGAGCGCTGAAAGATAATGGCAGGGATAGTAACCCAGGTTGAGACTGGAAATGTCTGAGGTGAGCAATACTTATCCTTCCAGTAGACCTGTGCTTGAGGTTTGGGTGCCAGTTCAGCTTTAGATGATGGATTCAGAGAGATTTGGGTTTCTACGGGGTTATATTTTGTAGCTGCTTTTCTTAAGTCAGATAACTCTTGTTGTCACTGGCTTCTGTAGAACTTCTCATGGCCACTGGTAAGTAATGAAAATTCAAGCACAAAACACTTAAATGGATCTTGCCTATAGATCATTAGTCTGGCTGGGTCTGGCACTACCAAGTGGATTGAATTCCAGTGATAAGAGCTCTCAGCTGAGGAATCCTTGGCACCAGATAGCATTAAGACTTTACTTCCGTAAGCAAGCACTACCCAGCCAGTTTCAGCTACCAGAATGACGTGTTAGATGAAAGGTCTCTCATGTAGCTGGGCACCTGGCCATTTATGGGTTTGAAGATAATTGCCAGTGCTTTGAATTGCATCCAGTTATTGGGTTCATTCTGGCCCACTCCACGGGGGGGGGGGCAGATCTCCTATGCTACGTGGGATTTCCATGTGGATTTTGTGGATTGCCCCTAGGAGTCTGCGATGATGGCAACAGACACACAAATGACTGAGGTCTGCATAACAAGCACTTCAGACATCCACAGTTAAAGGGAACTCTTCAGATGCTTGGAGCTGTGGACAGCTACAGGATGAGGGCAGGGAACAGAGCGTATGAATGGAATGGGACGGAACAGAACACAGAGGAAAGGTACAGCTCTGGCCTGTGAAAGGAGAAAGCATCTTTTGGAAGAAACAAAGGTGAGGGAAGAGAATCTACAGGGAAACAGGCAAAAATGGTAAAAGGAGAAAAATGACACTGATTTTAGGCTGGTGAATTTTAATAGATCTATTACCTAGACTGTTCTGTCACCCCTGTTTTTAACTTCAGGGCATGAGAAGGTGGGGAGAAAGCAGGTGGTGTAGCAGACTGCTGCTGTGAAGGACTTGAGCCAACCTACTTCTTTGCATGCATAATTGTAAGAGGCGATTCAGCTGGTGCAGGTATCTTCCTTTTGAAGTGACACTCCAAAGGACAATTATCCTCCACTCTACCACTCCCCTGAATTTGAATTCATGTGGACCCATCACTGTATCCTTGCTAATTTGTAGAATTTATGATGGCAGTTTTATGCCTTTCTGCTGTGCCACTAACTGTGTCTGAAATAGCTGCTGAGTCTGGTGAGATGTGCAATGGATTTAAGCTCCCTGAAATACTGTCACCATACAACACAGATTTCACTGTGTGCGCGCACGCATTGCACCAGTATGTGAATTAGTATGACTGTGCCATTAATGTGTACAGGATATACAATTCAGACTATAGGGCAGGCAGATAAACTTCAGATTTATCCTCTGGTTCTTTGTTCGTAGCCTTAATTCATCTTGGATACTACAGTGATTAAGTGCTCTAGAAATACCTGGGCACTGGTTTGTCTAATTCCAAGGGCTTGTCTACAAAGAGAAGTAGCCTGGAATAGCTACTTTGCATTAGCTTAAGCTAAAATGCACAAAGGCACTCTTACTGTAGAATGAGTGCCAGCCACAGGAGCTAGTTGTGGAATAGTTGTGGCACTTTAAATTCACGCCCTAACTTATTTTACATTCGTTTCTCTGTGTAGACAAACTCTAACTCCATTGCTGGACAGGGTGTAGCTTTCAGAATCTAGACCATTATCTCATGTTTGGGCTACACCGATCTTTCTCTCTAGCCTGAATGAAGGCAGATTAAAACTCCAGTATCAGAGTCCATTCAAAATACTGCAGTCAGAATCTATCTTCCTTGGTTGTTGTTTGTTGTTGTTTTTATGTCCCCTCCCAACCCCACCCCTTTCAGTCCCTCTTGAGGCTTCCCTTTTTCATCTGCGTTACAGGCAAACTTCTAGCCTTTACTTTTCAAGACTTTTCCCAATTTAGCACCCTTGTCCTTACCTATTCTCTTATCACACCAGATTGTGACTCCTCCCCTTTGCTCTGCTAACAATGCTAGTCTCATCTACTCCCATGAGCATCTCCATTACTTCTTCCCCGACTCTTATCCTCTTATCCATTTAATGCTCTCCCCAAATTGGTTCACGCATATCCTTCATATCCCTTATGGACCACTCTTTAAGCAGGAGGTCTTGCAGATATCTTAGAGAAAGGTAATGGTGTTTTTAGTAGTATCGGTAGTTTGGTTGGTGAAATGCCAAGAAACCTCATATAAGATGAAAAATGTATTGCATCGGCAAGCTTCAGCTCTGCAAGTTCTCATTGGCCCACAGTTCCTGTCAAATACGGGAATGTACCTGTTAATTACATCTGTCAGCGAATCACAGCATCAGCAGCACCAGAAAACGGCAGTGCTGTCAAAAGGACAATATCAAATTGATGTATGCCCAGCACAAGGGCTTATCTTCACTAGACTTTTTTTAACCTTGAGTTAGTTGATTTCCAGTTAACGTTAACATGCCCGTAAAGGCTGGTGGGGACATTCCCCACATTTGATGCAGGCTATAAAATTGTTCTTCAGCCTAGGTCAGTGGTTCTCAAACTTTTTTTCCCCCGGACCACTTGCAAATTGCTGAGGGTCTCAGCAGATCGCTTAATGATCTTTCCAAGTGTTGTTTGTACCATTAGCTAGCTATTGTAAAGTGCTTTGGATAAAAGTGCTATACAAAAAAACCCCGTAATAATTAATGTTTTTTGTTCTACAAAGAAAAGCACACAACTCATATTTTAATATCAGTAGTCTTACCTTTCTGATGTGATGGATGTACCCTCTTTCCTGTGCTGTGACGGCCCCCAAGCTGGGGCTGGGAAGGGAGCGGAGGGTGTCTCTCCCTCTCTCCCCCGCCACAGCAGCCCCCCTGCTGGGGCTGGGAAGGAAGGCCGTCTCTCCCCAGCACAAATTGACAAGGGTTAGGAATAAACGTCTATGGGCAGATTTATTACATAATTCTCCACTGCAGGGCTTTTCCTTTCTCTGCATCTTTTACTACTGGCCACTGTTGGAGATAAGATCCTGGATTAGATAGTCCACTGTTCTGATCTGGTATTGCAGTTCATTTACACAAGGAGAGCATCTTCTGAACAGTGAGAGCAATTTGACAATGGAACAGCTATTCAGTATCATCAATGAAAAATATTTAATGGTGAAAACTTCTGTAGGCAAAGCCTGTAGTAAGAAGAAAGGGCTGGACTGCGTGAGCTGAAAGGTCCCTTTCACCCCTACCATCTGATGGACTTGCTCTATCCTCTTCATTCCTGACATTCCAAAATACAACTTTCATCTTAAGTAAACTTAGAAGCAATAATAAACTTCCTGTAATTAAGTAAGTAAATGAATATTGGTTGCTGCTGGCTCTGTCAGCATCCACAAAAGAATAAGCAAGTTCTGCATACTGCTTTGGGGAATGGGGCAGAATTTCCACTGCATGATAGTGGAGACTACAGAGGAGGATTTTTTTAAATAAGCTGCTTTAATCACTCTCATATTCCCATTCTGCAGTGTGAGAGTGGGCTGACAAATCTAAAAATAAACTTCCTTGATGACTGGCTCACATGGATCGTTTAAGTCAAGTATGAACATGCCCACCGTTGGGGTTTCTTTCTAAATGAGTCTAAAAAAGGCTTTAATGCATCATTCTCCAATGTGCTGTGTCTTTCCGCTCAGCTACACTTCTTCCCTTTCTGTGGCTTTTATTTCTAGCTCTGCCATAGCTTCTCTCTCATGTTTTCACGCTCTCATCTTTCTGATCTTTGAGATCCCATGGATGTCCTGTATACTGAGGACTCAAGATTAGTTTGAGACCAACAATTAGAAAACTTCTAGGACTTGTAATTCACCATATTGCAGCTTTGTCAGTGGTAGCTATAATGCAGTGTCAGGTCATCTGATCCTGCCATGAGTGGGGTTAAACACAGAACAGGGTTAAATGACCATAAAAATGTCTGAGCCTTGCACTACAGCTGTCATTACTGAAGTATGCCTTGGTGAATTATTAGTCCTAGGATAGACAAAAGCCAGTAGGAATAGCTTTAGAAATCCATACTGCAGAATATACACTCAACTCTCTTAGGTCGGATGGGTAACATGTACCTTCCTAAGTGTCCACACCCTCAACTATCTCCCCTTAAAGGAGACCAGCGAAGTGTGGTCGGAGGGACTTAGGTTTATGCTCTTTGTTTGCTTCCTTACAAAGCACACCTGAAAGGGTTTTAAAGTTTCCCTCTGCTTAATTTTTACCTTTAGAAATAACAAGAATGTCAAGCCTTAGTTTTGCTAGAGGAATTCTTGGAGGACCCAGAGAAGTGGATTGGAAATTTTCTCATCTTTTTGCTGGAGAGGGCAGGGGCTATTGAGTCTTTCAGCATATCCTTTTTTTGTCTCCCAGTTTTTCTCCGGGGTGTGTGTGGGAGAGAGAGAAATAGGGGGTTATCAACATTTTGAGGAGCTGAATAAAAATCTTTCACTCTAAATCAGGTTTCACTGCTCTATCTCTGTGAGACCTTAACGTTTGCCATCCCTGTTTTTCCTGGAAGACTTTGTGTAGGAAACCTGAATTTCTAATGTAAAACAGGCAAATCCCTAGAAAAGGGACAGGAAGGACTGTCTGTCTTCATACATCATAAAGGAGCAAAAGTGGCACAATCCCAATTTTTTTCCTTTGTGGGTCACTTTTAATTACTTTGCCTGAACTTCTTACCAAACTCCTGCCTGGCAACAAATGACCTTCTAATCCTGTCTTGGCAGGAAAATGATTTTGCATGATCTAATGGGTCTTTTCCATCTCTAACTTCTGTGAGTCTCCCTAGTGGCTCATTATAGCATGAAACAAAGAGCACTTTTTGTTGCACTGCCAATAGTGGGCAATAGCATATACTGTTAATGCAGGCAAAAAGGAATAGTAGAGACCTGCTATTATTAATTGGTTTTATTAGTGGATGGTTCTTGTGGGGTGTCTGCTTCCGTTGCATTGCATATTAGATGTAGAGCAACATAACATCTTTCAGGAAGCAGAGAAACTCTAAATGTGCATGGTAATTTGTCTGATCAGAACTGTTAGAACCAGAAGCTTATCACCATGACTTCAGTTGTATCTGACTGCTCTGTGAAATGCACGTGTCATTTGGTTCTGGTCTTCCTAACACTCAGCATTTGTCATATGGACTCGATCAGCCTTTGGGCTTTGATTTCTGAACACTGATTTTGTAAGAAAGTAATCCATAGAAGAGCGCCAGTTTACAAAGTACTGTGTAGAGCAATTTGTTTCTTTTTAAACTTAGGAAAAAGCTTGATATTTTAAAAAGCAGTATAGCATGTGGGGCTGGATGGCCTAAGTTAATGGAATGGGAGTAATAGAGCCTGTCTCAGCTCTAGCCTGGGTTAGACCCAAGGCCTGATTTACAAAGTTATTTATGTGTCTGTAAGTACAGGTAGGCACCCAGTAGGGCTTGTAAAAGCACCAAACTTCCTTTGAAGTCACTGTGAGTTAGGCCCTCTCTAACATGCCACAAGGTGCCTGTATACATCTTTAGATACCTTAATACCATTGTAAACCTGGCCCCAAGTTACTCTCACCTTGCCTCTGGCCTGTGTGAAATGAATTGGAGGTCTCACTGGACAAGCATTCATGCCACAAACTGCTGCTCCTTTTGATACCCTTGTGGTCAGACTTAGCAGAGCTCACCCACTGAGTGGGACATGGAGACTTCTATCCTACACGTCTGGTCTCTTGAGGTCAGGGCTGGGACACGCTGGTGGTGCAATGAGAAGGGAGCCTACATTGCTGCAGGGGCTTTAACAAATACACTGTCTCCAGCACATTTCATTAGCCCTGTTGCCTTAATCCCTTCCTGTAAACAACAAAGCATGCTTCCCACCTTTCTGTATTGTAACATGCTATGTTCTGGTTGCCCAGAGCCCTGCAAGATTGGGGCACTGAACTCTCACTCTAATGGAGTTGAGGGCATCCAGCAGCTCAAGTGATCCTGCCCTTCGATTGTTATGACGTGCAGAATGGTCACACCCTAGCACTCGGCTTTTTAAGAAGAAATGTACGCCAGTTCCCCCGTACAAGGAGCCTAATTTCATCTGTTGAG